ACCAGTAATAAAATATTTGTTTTTTTTTTCAAACTTTTTTTTTATTTTATTTTAAATCTTATCTGTAGGATATGTTAAATGTCTGATAAAGTAGGAACAATTAGTCTTTGTGTTATTCAAATCGATTGAATTAATTCAATTTACTACTTTTCAATTTTTCATTTCCTACTTTTTTCATCTAATCAGGCGGATTTCAACAAGGAATTCAATTTTTTTTTTTTTTAACTAATTTATCACTTTTTATCTTTTTCTGTTTCTTCTATTTTTCTTTTAATTCTTTAGTAGTTTTAAATAAATAAATAAATAAATACAATAATCATTTCTTTACTTATTTGTATAAAAAATATAGCGCAGCAATATGTTAGCTAAATAATAAATAAATAAATTTTATACAAAATAATGAAATTAAAAAGAAAAAACGAAAAAAAAAAAAAAAAATTAAAGATGGAAGTGATTAGATCAGTTAATTATTAATTATCATACTATTGTGCCACAAATTCTTTTTCTTTTAAAATCTTTTAAAAACAAGAAAAAAGGAAACGGAATTAAACTGTTTACTAAACTGTTTACTGTTTAAATTTTTGTTATCTTATCATCTATAATTTAAAAAAAAAAAAAAAAAGGAGAAGGAAAGTGAAGTGATAAATGATTGGACAATTAGATAACTTATAGGATATGAATAACCAATTTCTCATTTCATTTTGCATTTGATTTTTTTATTTACTTGTTTATTTATTTATTTATTTGTTCTATTTGTACCAAAATCATTTCGTCTCTTTTCTTTTTGCCATATATTATTTTGTGTCATTTTTATTTTTCTATTTTTTTTTCCCAACAACATTTAGCAAATTTATCATTTGCTTCATTGTGTGTATCAATCATTTTAAAAAAATGAGAAAAAAAGAAAAAAGAAAGACTGAAAATTAAGAATCAAGAATCGAGAATCGAGAATCAAGAATCGAGAATCACGAATCGATAAAGCTAAGTGTAAAATGATGGAAAGTGGAAAAAGTGCAATTAAATTAGCAAATGATCCATTTAAAATGGATTCATTCAGTTATGGATGTTTTGAAAAACTACAAAATAGCACCAATAGCAGGTCTTTCTTTCTCTTTTTTTTTTAAAAAAAAATTATTTGGAATTTTTTTTTCAAATATTATTTTAAAAAAATTTAGCTGTTACCTTATATTATTATTATATTAAATTTATTATTATTATATTAAATATTGTATTAAAATAGTATTATGTTTGAAATTAATTTTTCTTTCCACCATTTTCCTATATTAAAATAAAAATATGAAGAAATATTAATAATTCTAATTGATATAGCTAAATCTAAATCATTAAGAAATGCATAAAAGAATAATCGTTTGAAATATATTTGCTAAAAGTTGAAAATGAAAAGAAAAATTAAAATTTAAAGTGAAAAGAATTATAATGCAAAATGTTAATATTTTAATTTTATTTTATTATAAATTACAAAATAATGAATTTTCAATTTAAATTTAATCAATGCATAAAAATTGTATTTTATATATAAACTTAATATGAATCAATTATATATGAAATTGAAATTAGATAAAATTTTGTGTAATAGAAATAACTTTATTATCAATTATTATATTTTTTCCACTTCCAGTAGTAATATTCTATTTGTTCAATATCAAATTAATATAAAATAAAACAAAAAAAGCAAAAAGTAAAAGGAAACCGAAAAAAAAAAAATAAAAACCTAAACAGGAAATTGAAATTTTAAAATGAGCAAAAAAAACAAAATAGTATTTTGTTTTGTCTTTGTTTTTTGTTTTTTTAGAAAATTACATTCAATTTACTACCTTAATTCTCCCTTTTCCTTTTCCCTCTTCTTTCTTTCTTTTCCTCCCTCCCTCTCTCTCTCTCTCTCTCTGTTCGTCCTTCTTTGTCATATTTTCTCTCTCCCTCTCTCTCTCTCTCCAAAAATTCCCAACAAAAGATATCAAACAAATAATTATTTCATTTGTCTACTTGAAACTTGTCCCCCTGTCCTTCCTTGTTCAAATTATATTGTTGACAATAAATTCAACAATCATTTTTATTCATTTCAAACAATTAACATTACAATCGTTTTTTTTTTTTTTCATCTTTTCATTATTTATTTCACATATTGTTGACATTTTTTTCTCTTTTCATTTCAATCAATTTTAATCATTTCATTCCTTATCACCGTATTATCACTATCACTTATCATCTTATCATTACACTTATCATTCAATAATATATATGCATAGACATACATATACATATGCATCAATGATATAAACATACACACATACACATTTATATACATGCAGACATACACACATACATTATTAGACGTATACGTATACATACACACACACACAACACAGACATACACACATACATTATTAGACGTATACGTATACATACACACATACACAACACAGACATACACACGCACTTATATATAATCAATAGGTCAACGGTTTTTTTTTTCTCCTCTACCATTAATCGATGATAGTCTTTTGCATAATTTTACTCTAATTAGAAGTAATCACTTATAGTAGTAATATGTATGTGTATGTGTATGTGTGTATGTGTGTATGTATGTATGTATGTATGTATTTGTATGTGATTATTTACTAAAATGAAATTAATTAATCAATTTGTTAGGAAATGAATATTTTATGGAATATAATATATTTTATATTAACTTATCTTTTTCTCAAATTTATTTCATTTATAAAATGAATTTGGTTATTTATACACTTTTTTTTTTCTTTTTCAGTCTAACAAATACTTTTGTATTTATTTAATAAAAATTAAATTAATTAAAATAAAAAAGAAAAAAGAGAAAGAAAATTTAAAAAAAAAAACAAAAGAAAAACTTTCATTCATTTCTTTCTTCCGTCTTTTTTTTCTTTTTTGTTTCTTTTCATATTTTTTTTTTTCAATTTTTACAAGTGTTACACTATTAATTGTCTACTCTTCATATCTTACTATTTTACCTTTTAATTTTTAATTATTATTTTTGCATAAAAATTTTCTAACATATTATAAACAAATTTATGCATAAAATTTAACTGAAAAATGCATTTAACATTTTGAAATATAAATTATAAAATGTTTAATGATCAAATAATTTTGCAAATAATTTAATTAATCATTTAATTAATTAATTTTTTACATAAAAAGAAAGGAAATGTTTTTTTTTAAATTATTTACTTTAGACACACACATACATATAATATATCAGAAAGAAAGACAAATGACAGTAATGCATTCCTTTACAATTTATTTTAAAAAAAAGAACGAATTAATTTTTTTTTTTTTTTAATTGACAATTTTAATAGAGAAATTAATAATTTATCTATAATATTTGTTATCAAAAAAATCAAAAAAAAATAAATAAATAAATAAAGTCGAAATATAACAAATAGTTAATGTATTTGTACACATATATAAATAACATTTACTTGATATTTTTCATTTAATTTTAATTAAAAATTTATTTTGCTATTTTAATAGTAAATTTAAACTTTTATTTCCTTCTTATCATTTCTTTAAATTAATGCTTATTTTATTAAATTATTTTTTCTTCCTTTTTTTTTTTTTTTTTTGAGAATAATTTCAATCACTTTTTTTTCTTATTTTATTGTTAAAGTTTTCTAATTTTTTTTAAGATACCATTAAAATTCTATGAATTTTAATAAATTTTAAATTCACACAATTTCATATGGAAAATAAATGCAAAATGTTTTCATGGCGGAAAAAAAAATTACTTTTTTTTTTTAATATCTAATATGAATATAATTTCAAAGAATTCTGTTTTTTTCCTTAAAAATTGAGAAAAAAAATATTTTAATATTTAGATTGATGCAATTTTGACTTATTAAATTATTTAAATTTAAATATTCAAAAATTCGATATATTTTAAACTAAAGAATCTGAATGGATTGTATACATACGTTGACGTAATGACGTAGACACGTATGTAAGTGACGTAGACAAACATCTAAGATTACACCTAAATCATTGATTGTAGTTTTTCATAAGTTAGATAGTTTCATCAAGATTCCTTTGCTATATTTCACACATTAACATTTTGCATTCTATTAATGGAATCTTGCATTCCGGTAGTTGAATCCTGTTTTCCGGTCGTAACAAACACAATTCAATAATATAGTTTTAATGATAATCTATTCAGGTACGTGTAATTCGCATATTCTGATATATGCATATGAATAGATAAATATGTATATACGTGTTCTAACGTATATTTGTTAAGTATTTTTTAAATTACATCATCAAGTTATCATATTTAAATTTATCTCCTATTTTTTTTTCGATCAATTTTATAATAATTATTAGTAATTATTTTTTTTAAAATTATTTTACGAAAATCAGAAATGCTAAAATTAGCGTAAATTGAATCAATTACTTGAATTGAAATGAAATATTTATGGAGAAATGAATCAGTTGATTTCAACAAATTATAATTAATTAAAATTAATTACTAATAATTATTAAGTGTTGTCATTTGTTTTTATGTAAATGAATTGTAAACAATAACAAATAATATTGTAGTGATCAATGAGATCAATAGGTGACATAATAAACATAAAATATTGATAATTTATTATTTACTAATTTATATAATAACAATAATAACTGTGGTTTGATATAATATTAAATTAATTTAATCAGCATTGTATGTTTTAAAAGAGATATGAAAATATGATATGATAACCTAATCAAAATATTTCATATCTTCCTGGAATGATTATTTTAATGTATTTCAATTCATCTGCTAATCATAATGTTATTATTGATAGTAGAATAATTAAGATCAACTTCTTTTTTAATATAATTTAAGAAGGAATTTATGTAATTCGAGAAGAATTAAAAAATCAAAATCCGTATAATTTCTTTTTTTTCTTTACTTTTTAAATTATTACAAATGTTTTTCTTTTTTTTTTTTTTTTGTATTTTACAGCAACTCAATGTCTTCCGAAAGGCTGAAAGTTAAAAATGGACCACGTGATTATATTTGCTTAATTCTTTTGTTCATTATTAATTTAATTAATTACATGGATCGATTTACAGTTGCAGGTGATTAAAATAAATATTCTTCATTCTTTATTTTTCACATTTATTTGTACATTTATTTTGATTTAATTTTTTTTTTTTTTGCTGAATTATATTTTATAATCATAATTGTCAATCGAGTCATCAATCATAATCAGAACATCATAATTACTATTTTTATTACTACTGTAGAGGTACTGTAACAACGATGATAGCTAATTACGGTAGTGAATTACAGTAACAAATTATGACATTCTTGATAACAACAAATTAATTATTTATTCTATTCATTTTGTTTTCTCATTTAACGCTTAATTCAAATGTACTGATTAGATTATTAACTTAAATTATTGATTATAATTCATTGATATATGCTAAATTCAAATTAAATAATTTAATTTCTAAATTTAATTATGTTATAAGTAAATTGCAAAGTGCATACAAAGTAAATTTTAGAAATGGTAAATTTATGACTATTTTTTTTTTTTTTTAAATCTACGAATTTTAAGGTGTTTTGACACAAGTTCAAGCATTTTTCTCGATTGATGATACCGGAGCAGGTTTATTACAAACAGTATTTATTATATTTTATATGGTAGTTGCACCCTTATGTGGTTTTCTTGGCGATCGATATAATCGGAAATGGATAATGGTTATTGGTATAGCAGTTTGGATTATTGCTGTAATGGCATCATCTTTTGTACCTGCTAATGTTTGTTCTTTAATAAATATGAAAAAATTCAAATTCTAATTTAAACTTTTAATTTTTAGTTTTTGATTAAAATTTATACTTTTGGCTCATTTATAGATAAAATTTTCAAATCAATTGCTTTATTTCATTTTAATAAGAAATGATTTTTAGCTATTTTGGTTATTTCTATTATTAAGAGGTGTTGTTGGTATTGGTGAAGCATCATATGCGACAATTGCGCCAACAATAATTGCTGATATATTTTCAATACCAATACGCAGTCGAGCAATTATGTTTTTCTACTTTGCTATACCAATTGGAAGGTTAATTATTTGTACAATGTATATGAGCAAACTTTCTGATACTTTTTTTTTTTCTGTATAAATATTTTAATTCTTAATAAATTTAAGTTCTTATTAAGAATAAATTATTATCATTGGTCCTAATCATCAATTCTAATTAATCTGATTAATTAATTCACGAAAATTATTATTATATTCCTGTTTTATCTCCGTGATTAGTGAACTTTTCTGGAAATAATAACTTTTAAATATTTCAACGACAATTAATTATTTTATTTCAACAATAAATAACCATCGATTTTTGTTGAAAAAAAAAAAAGTGCAAAAATTACCAAAGATAATTATAAAATTTGATTGAATAATTAAACATAATCAAATGTTATTCGTAGCAAAAATATGTAATTTAAAAGAAAAAAAAATATGAATAATTTATTTGAAAATTTTTTTTTTTTAGTTAATTAAAATTAATGAAAAGAAAAATTTCAGTGGTATGGGTTATATTGTATCATCGAATGTTTCCTCATTACTTGGTGGTTGGCAATGGGGCATTCGAGTGACACCATTTCTAGGAGTTTTATCTATTGTATTTATCATTTTGATTATGAATGAACCAAAACGTGGCGAAGCAGAAAGTGTTGTTACTAATAATATAAAACGAACATCATATTGGGAAGATATTAAAGCAATTTGTAAAATGTAAATTTACTTTTATTTATTTTTTGAAATAAATTATTTAAATTTTTTCAAAATTTAAAATGTATATTTAGTTTCTTTCTTTTCTTTTTCGTTTTTCTTTCTTGGAAAGATTGTTTAAAATATTTAAGTTCTAAAATATGATATTTTTATATTATGTTTTTAAAATTTATCAAATATAATATTGCAATTTTATTCATTTTGTGCATAAAAATTTACTCATATAACAAACAGTATTTAATGCGCAAATAATTTTTACGATTAATTTTATAAATTTTATTGCTAAATGATATGATATTTTAATGATAATGGATAATTTTTTCATAGAAAAAGTTGAAATTTGTGATTTGAACTCGAATTCGAAAATTTTTGAACTTGAAAATTTGAAATTTAAACATGAAATTTATATTAAAGAATGTATTAATGATTATATTAATTGCATTAAATGGTTGTAATTAAATTATTATTGATATATCAATTAAATATTGCATCTAAAATTATACATAATATAAGAAAACAATTTGATTTAATCATTTTACCACATTTTTAACTAAAGAATTATTTGTTATATGAATTTATAAAAAAATAAAAAATACAAATTTTTATTTGTTTCAGTCCAACATATGTTAATGCGACACTTGCTTATACATCAGTAATATTTGCAACTGGGACATTGTCATGGTGGGGACCAGCAGCTGTTGAACATTCTATTGCTATGAAAGAAAATTTAAATAGTACTAGTGAACTTAGCAGTGAACAAAAAAATAGGTAATTTTGTCTTCAAATTCTTTTTTTCTTCTTTTATTTTTTTTTTTTTGCAAAAAAATGTAATATAAAAATATTTGTTTATGAAAGAGAAAAAAATTTATTATTATTATTAAATTTCTTTTAAAATGATTTAATTATGAAAAAGTATAATGAAAAACACAAAAAGAAAAAGATATGAAATTATATTCCACTATTTGAATTTAATAATAGTTTAATAAGTTGGAGTTGGAAGTGTAAAACAAATGTGACAAACGTGGGATGTGCCGAGAAGCGGAGAAATGTGAAACATTTGAAGAAATGTTAAAAATACGAGAAACGTGAGAAGTACGAGGAGTGTGAAAAAGGATGAGAAACGTGAGAAGTACGAGAAGTTGTGAAAAAGGATGAGAAACGTGAGAAGTACGAGAAGTTGTGAAAAAAGATGAGAAACGTGAGAAGTAAGTGTTGAGAAACGTGAGAAGTACGAGAAGTGTGAAAAAGGATGAGAAACGTGAGAAGTACGAGAAGTGTGAAAAAGGATGAGAAACGTGAGAAGTACGAGAAGTGTGAAAAAGGATGAGAAACGTGAGAAGTACGAGAAGTGTGAAAAAGGATGAGAAACGTGAGAAGTACGAGAAGTGTGAAAAAGGATGAGAAACGTGAGAAGTACGAGAAGTGTGAAAAAGGATGAGAAACGTGAGAAGTACGAGAAGTGTGAAAAAGGATGAGAAACGTGAGAAGTACGAGAAGTGTGAAAAAGGATGAGAAACGTGAGAAGTACGAGAAGTGTGAAAAAGGATGAGAAACGTGAGAAGTACGAGAAGTGTGAAAAAGGATGAGAAACGTGAGAAGTACGAGAAGTGTGAAAAAGGATGAGAAACGTGAGAAGTACGAGAAGTGTGAAAAAGGATGAGAAACGTGAGAAGTACGAGAAGTGTGAAAAAGGATGAGAAACGTGAGAAGTACGAGAAGTGTGAAAAAGGATGAGAAACGTGAGAAGTACGAGAAGTGTGAAAAAGGATGAGAAACGTGAGAAGTACGAGAAGTGTGAAAAAGGATGAGAAACGTGAGAAGTACGAGAAGTGTGAAAAAGGATGAGAAACGTGAGAAGTACGAGAAGTGTGAAAAAGGATGAGAAACGTGAGAAGTACGAGAAGTGTGAAAAAGGATGAGAAACGTGAGAAGTACGAGAAGTGTGAAAAAGGATGAGAAACGTGAGAAGTACGAGAAGTGTGAAAAAGGATGAGAAACGTGAGAAGTACGAGAAGTGTGAAAAAGGATGAGAAACGTGAGAAGTACGTGTGAAAAAGGATGAGAAACGTGAGAAGTACGAGAAGTGTGAAAAGGATGAGAAACGTGAGAAGTACGAGAAGTGTGAAAAAGGATGAGAAACGTGAGAAGTACGAGAAGTGTGAAAAAGGATGAGAAACGTGAGAAGTACGAGAAGTGTGAAAAAGGATGAGAAACGTGAGAAGTACGAGAAGTGTGAAAAAGGATGAGAAACGTGAAGTACGAGAAGTGTGAAAAAGGATGAGAAACGTGAGAAGTACGAGAAGTGGGGAAAAAGGATGAGAAACGTGAGAAGTACGAGAAGTGTGAAAAAGGATGAGAAACGTGAGAAGTACGAGAAGTGTGAAAAAGGATGAGAAACGTGAGAAGTACGAGAAGTGTGAAAAAGGATGAGAAACGTGAGAAGTACGAGAAGTGTGAAAAAGGATGAGAAACGTGAGAAGTACGAGAAGTGTGAAAAAGGATGAGAAACGTGAGAAGTACGAGAAGTGTGAAAAAGGATGAGAAACGTGAAAGTACGAGAAGTGTGAAAAAGGATGAGAAACGTGAGAAGTACGAGAAGTGTGAAAAAGGATGAGAAACGTGAGAAGTACGAGAAGTGTGAAAAAGGATGAGAAAAACGTGAGAAGTACGAGAAGTGTGAAAAAGGATGAGAAACGTGAGAAGTACGAGAAGTGTGAAAAAGGATGAGAAACGTGAGAAGTACGAGAAGTGTGAAAAAGGATGAGAAACGTGAGAAGTACGAGAAGTGTGAAAAAGGATGAGAAACGTGAGAAGTACGAGAAGTGTGAAAAAGGATGAGAAACGTGAGAAGTACGAGAAGTGTGAAAAAGGATGAGAAACGTGAGAAGTACGAGAAGTGTGAAAAAGGATGAGAAACGTGAGAAGTACGAGAAGTGTGAAAAAGGATGAGAAACGTGAGAAGTACGAGAAGTGTGAAAAAGGATGAGAAACGTGAGAAGTACGAGAAGTGTGAAAAAGGATGAGAAACGTGAGAAGTACGAGAAGTGTGAAAAAGGATGAGAAACGTGAAAAAGTACGAGAAGTTGTGAAAAAGGATGAGAAACGTGAGAAGTACGAGAAGTGTGAAAAAGGATGAGAAACGTGAGAAGTACGAGAAGTGTGAAAAAGGATGAGAAACGTGAGAAGTACGAAGTGTGAAAAGGATGAGAAACGTGAGAAGTACGAGAAGTGTGAAAAAGGATGAGAAACGTGAGAAGTGATGAGAAACGTGAGAAGTACGAGAAGTGTGAAAAAGGATGAGAAACGTGAGAAGTACGAGAAGTGTGAAAAATGAGAAACGTGTACGAGAAGTGTGAAAAAGGATGAGAAACGTGAGAAGTACGAGAAGTGTGAAAAAGGATGAGAAACGTGAGAAGTACGAGAAGTGTGAAAAAATGAGAAGTACGAGAAGTGTGAAAAAGGATGAGAAACGTGAGAAGTACGAGAAGTGTGAAAAAGGATGAGAAACGTGAGAAGTACGAGAAGTGTGAAAAAGGATGAGAAACGTGAGAAGTACGAGAAGTGTGAAAAAGGATGAGAAACGTGAGAAGTACGAGAAGTGTGAAAAAGGATGAGAAACGTGAGAAGTACGAGAAGTGTGAAAAAGGATGAGAAACGTGAGAAGTACGAGAAGTGTGAAAAAGGATGAGAAACGTGAGAAGTACGAGAAGTGTGAAAAAGGATGAGAAACGTGAGAAGTACGAGAAGTGTGAAAAAGGATGAGAAACGTGAGAAGTACGAGAAGTGTGAAAAAGGATGAGAAACGTGAGAAGTACGAGAAGTGTGAAAAAGGATGAGAAACGTGAGAAGTACGAGAAGTGTGAAAAAGGATGAGAAACGTGAGAAGTACGAGAAGTGTGAAAAAGGATGAGAAACGTGAGAAGTACGAGAAGTGTGAAAAAGGATGAGAAACGTGAGAAGTACGAGAAGTTGTGAAAAAGGATGAGAAACGTGAGAAGTACGAGAGTGTGAAAAAGGATGAGAAACGTGAGAAGTACGAGAAGTGTGAAAAAGGATGAGAAACGTGAGAAGTACGAGAAGTGTGAAAAAGGATGAGAAACGTGAGAAGTACGAGAAGTGTGAAAAAGGATACGAGAAGTGTGAAAAGGATTGAGAAGGATGAGAAACGTGAGAAGTACGAGAAGTGTGAAAAAGGATGAGAAACGTGAGAAGTACGAGAAGTTGTGAAAAAGGATGAGAAACGTGAGAAGTACGAGAAGTGTGAAAAAGGATGAGAAACGTGAGAAGTACGAGAAGTGTGAAAAAGGATGAGAAACGTGAGAAGTACGAGAAGTGTGAAAAAGGATGAGAAACGTGAGAAGTACGAGAAGTGTGAAAAAGGATGAGAAACGTGAGAAGTACGAGAAGTGTGAAAAAGGATGAGAAACGTGAGAAGTACGAGAAGTGTGAAAAAGGATGAGAAACGTGAGAAGTACGAGAAGTGTGAAAAAGGATGAGAAACGTGAGAAGTACGAGAAGTGTGAAAAAGGATGAGAAACGTGAGAAGTACGAGAAGTTGTGAAAAAGGATGAGAAACGTGAGAAATACAAAGTATAAGAAATAATAAAATAGTTTTTCTAGAAACTACCAAAATATAACAAAAAAAGAAGCATTTCAATCAGTGTTAATTCATCCGACAGATGTATATATCTTATGAATTTTCATAAAAAATTGATCAATTTGATGATTAACTGAAAATTTTTTTTTCTCCGTCTCTTAAATAAAAACTTTTAAGATTATTTAATTGTTTAAAAAGATATTTAATGTTTAAATATATAAAAAATTATTGGAAAAAATTCTAACTTTTGTTATCAAAATATTAACGCATTTATCACTGAACTTATTTAATTCTATACCATTAATTCATAAAATTATTAAAATGCATAACTTTTATAATTATTATTTATTCTGTTAAATTATTATTGATTATTAATCAAATCAGCACAGACAATAGCGCCCAATAATGTTAACAAAATCGCACAATAATGAAATAATAACAGTAATAATCTTATTTACTTATTATATCATACAAATTCTTTTATATTATTTCCATTCACTTTAAAGCGGTGTTTGTTATCAAATGACATTTCCGCCACTTTAAGTTATTTTACATTTGAAAATCCATTCAAATGCAATTATAGAATGTATAGAAAAGATTTCATTTTAATCATATCAACAAACAAAAAAGAAAAAATTATTCAGTTAAAAATAAGAAATATAATAAATCATAGCACAAGAAAGAAAAATTATTAAATTGATAAAAATTTGTTAAATTTTGATGATAAGGCAATGATAAATAGGTGTAATTAAGATACTTTGATAAAATAATATGAAATTTAATTAAATAAATATGAATTAAATATTATGATAAGATGTGAAATTATTACAACATTTGTTAAAAAATCGATCGATTAATTTTTAACAAATTATTATAAAATTAGCATTAGAAAAAATTATCTAAAACAATTTTTGTTTATCTAAATTACTGATAAGTAATAATTCTATTTTTACATAAATTTTTCAAGAAAATTAATTGTAAATTATATAATATTTATTCCCAATATTATATTTAAATGAAATATAAAATTTGTTTAATAAATTGAAATTTTTAAAGAAAAAAAAAAACTAAAATTTTGATAATATTTCAGTATAACACTTAGTTTTGGCATAATAACAGTAGCTGGTGGTATTTTGGGTGTTTCAACTGGTACAATGCTATCACAGGTTTGTTTT